GGAGGCACAGATACTGAAGCCAAGGCTGAGCTGAATTTGACACTTCCAGAAAGAATTCAAGCCCTCTTTTGCTATGTATGAAAAATATAAGTAGTGCATTTTCCTAGAATTACAGCTCTAGCCCATCTAGTACATAAATTTTCCGACAATATATGCATTAATCTTTAATTGATAATTTAAGATTAATTTGAAATAGGCTCTTCAAGAAATTAAGCACCAAAGTTGTTTTCTTTAATAACATTACTGTAGTTAAATCTCAACAAAATCTGAAGCAAAAGCAATATCTGAAAGTGATTTGCACTACTCTTCTAAACTAAAAGTTCAACCTTTTCTAAGGCTGACAAATAAGATCTCTCTCAGGAAAACAAGAAAACAATTTTGAAAAAGAGCAGTTTATCATCATTTATTTTCAATGGTACTAAGGTCATTAGATTCTCACAGCCAACATGGTTGGTCCAAGCTTGTCCTCTTAAGTACCTCCTGAGGGCAAAAAATACACTATTTTCCCTAAAGTAGTTTGTAACAAATGGGAGGTCACTGGCTTCTCTGCTACAGGCAGTCTGTGGTCTTCATCCAACTGAGGGAAATGAACAATGACAGTCAAAAAAGCACAATTTTTTTTTTGAGTTTCTGAGAAGGAAAAAGTTTTGTTCTCGAGTTTCCCTGAATTATGACCAGGAAAATCAAACAACCAAAGGTAATCAATAAATGTTTTCAATTACTACGCAATGTACCAAATCTAGTCACTAAGAAAACAAAAAGACAAAAACCCAGGTTTGCATTTGGGATCTGGGTGGACACCCCAGCAGCTTTGCATTACTAAAGTGTTAAAACAGCTTCAGAAACCCCAAGCTCAATTGGCCAGTATATTCTGACAGCTCCATGTGGTCTTAAATAGCTAGTACACGATAACAAATTTGTCCCTAAAAACTAAAATTAAATAAGTGGTTTAAGGCTACTTCTCAAATACTGGGACTATAAACTGCTAGCATTCTAAATGAGATCCTGTTTAGCATTCAGAAATTGAAAATATATATATCAGTATTTCACAGACCATAGATTCCGTGGAGAAAAGATTCCCTTTTCTTGATGTGCCAAGTGTAATGAATCCTCTAGTTGGGCTCCTAAAACACAACTTGAACCATAAGGAATTTGTAATTCATCTCAACATTCATCACCCAAATGCCTTTTACTCTGCTCTATAAAGATTCTGTAAATTGCAGTGTGGTTCAAGAGTTAAAGCCGAACTCCTGAGCAACACAAAGTTACCATTTACAGCTAGCTGGTCAGAAATCTGCCCCAATTCTGGTAGTCAATGATCTAGACCAGGGGTTGGCAAAATATGGCCCATAGGCTGGATCTGACCCGTGGAGGGACTCTGATCAGCCCAAAGCAGGTCCCTCAGTCCCACCTGGCTCAGGCGTCATCTGGCCCATGGCTACTTCCAGCCACACAGTGGGACTAGGGCGGCTCCTTCCAGTTGCTGCCACCAGCCCCAGCCTTGACCCCAGCCCTATGGAGACTGGTGGGGACTCATGTGCACAGCCCTGACCTTGTCCCGCCCCACACCAGATCTGGACCTGTCCTGGCAGGAGTGCACCAGCTCTGGATCAGCCAGGAACTGCATGCACAGCCCCAACCCCAGTCTGCCCTTAGCCCGCTCTGGACCATCCCACCCACGATAAGTGGCAGCGCCCAGGCAGAAGCTGCTGCCAGGCATGGAGGAAAAGCGGTTGATCGCCCTCACCTCTGCCAGACTGTTCTTGCTGTGGCTGCCTGCAGCCCACGCCTAGGCTGCCCTGTGGTTCCTCTCTGCCACCATCACCACTGCCACCAGCACCACATCCAGGCTCCCCAGTGGGACAGTGGTGGCAGTGGAAGGGAGCTGCTGGGGAGCCCAGGTATGAGCTCCAAACAGCCACAGCAAGTCGGGCCCGCCAGCGGTGAGGGGGGAGGCTGCTTTTCCCCCGCACCCAGCAGCAGCTTCTGCCCAGCCACAACTGCCCATTGTGGGTGGGTGGGGTCCAGAGCAGTTGCAGGGCAGGCCAAGGCCAGGGCTGTGAGTGCAGGTCCCAGCTGATCCGAAGCTGATCCCTTCTGGCCAGGGCGAGTCTGGCGCGGGTATGGGGTGGGCCAGGGCCCTGTGCTCAGCTCCTACTGCCCACTGGCATCAGCAGCAGTGGCAGGGGGGGGGCCCAAGGGCAGGGAGGAGCCACAGGGCCCACGGTCTCCAGGTTTGGTGATCTGTTATGGGGAGGGGGGTGCTGACCCGCCTGAAATAGCTCTCCAAAACTGCCTATGTGGCCCATAGGCCCAAATAATTGCCCACCCCTGGTCTAGAATCATTAATGTATCTTTGGCACCTAAGAGACTGCACAACTCTGAGGTGAGTTCAGTGACTGACAAGTCTGCTCTTCAGGGACAATGAAACTGCTACCAGAAGGATGAAGGTCATCTTTGTGAAGAGAAAAAGCAAAGCAAAACAACAACAAAAACTTTTTTTTAAGGGACAATCCAAAATCATGGGACAAACTACAGAAAATGTCACAAATCTCATCATCTTCTATTCTAAATCCAAGGCATACTCATTTGATTGAACCATTACAAACCTAAGCACATGGAACAATGTAGTCATTTTTATTAAAACATTCAGAATATAAAACCAAGAATCAAACCATACTACACACACACAGGTTTCCTCAGGGAAGAATATGAGCCACATTTAATAAGTACTGGTCATATTTGGCCAATCTGGAAGGTGCCCAGATAGTCAGGGCATGAGTGGTAAGAAACCTAAATATAACAGCATAACTGGAATCCAACTACACAGCCAAAGCTAATCTACATCGTTCCTTGGAAAGGGAATTGACAGTTTTAAACTCACTACCTTGAAACAAGAGAGCTGACACGTAGATGGTCTCCTAAATGCACACACATGCCTCCACACATATGCACAATCAACTTGACAGCCCTAGCTATTAAAAAGATTGACAATGTCTGTGTATTTGTAAGAAGCCCTTCTTGTGAGTGTTCCAAGAAAAACTTGGTTGCAAGTTGCAAAAGATGTAGTGAATTGTGGAGCTGAATTGGTGTTAAAACACATGCAAATACAATTTAATGGACCTCTTTAAAGGTGTTTTTATTATGTACAACAGTAACCTTTACATAAGGAATCAAACTTACAAAACAGCATCTGAATTCAAATACAGAGGAAATATATTACAAGGGGTAAGGTATTAGGAGTGAAAAGTCAAAGGTTCATGAAAAGGGGAATGAAATCCAGTGACTCAGTCTCCTTTTTCTCACTGTCACTAGTTATAGCGTTGAAAATTGATCAGCGGCACATTCATCACAATCACTATCACCCTTACAGTTTATACTAGATATTGGGTGAATCAGTCATTCCAATCAACAGGAACTGATAAATTTGCTCAACAGAATTATGACAAGGATGAGTGCATAGGCTGTACTCTGGGGAAAAAACAAAAGACTCTCCATTAACTGTTGTCTGTTAAATTTCTATCTCCCTTAATTACCAGATTTTCCATGCATGTAGCAAGAAAAGGTTAGAACCAAAGAGAAAGCTTGATAGCTTCTGCTAAATCTGGGCAGTGGAAGTAACTTCCCACCACCAGTGAGCCTTGTAAGTGTTCGATTCTAGTAATCAAGGTTCTTTGGGTAAATCTGATATCTTTTATTAGACCAACTCAACTAGTTGGAAAAATTCTTCTTAGCAAGTTTTTGGGTGCAAACACCCTTTGTCAGGCTGAGGAAGCAGTAGTTCTAATGTTCTGTCCTTGTGGCACCTTTAGCCATGGTAGATGTTAAGTGCTACAGAGGGATTTTCTGATGAGGCAGGAGAAAAGGGCAAAATATACAAGACACACTGGAACCATTTTTTAAAATCGCATAGGAAAGTGTTTAAACTTAATTTCTTCAACATATAAAATTGCACATGAACTAATCTTGTACTTATGAATTATGTTTATCATTACTCTTTATGAAACACTGATACCATCACGTGCAATCATATTTTATAGATAAATCTTTGCTGGGTAAATTTTCTGGGCATGAGCAAGTTAATAATTACCTTACTCTCCTACACCATTCTTCAAACACATTACTAAAAGATGAATAATAGCACAGAGCCTCCCAGTTCAACTCAGGTTTTCACTCCTTTTGTCATTCTTGCACCATAAAGAGGTAGGGAGTTCTGACTTAGACACAAAGATTACATTCCTTCCCTAAGGTGTGCCAGAAACCTGAGCTCTTTTAGCCACTGAAGACTAAGAAGTAACACATTTACTTCAATTGTTATACAGCATATTGCAGCCTTTTGACAGTACTAAGAGTGACTTAACATCCTTTTAAACTTCAGTCCTTTCAGTATTAAACCATTTTACAAGACTTTTGGTAAAAAAACAGTTGGATGCAAAAGATAACTACTAAAGCCTATTCACGACCATTTCACATATGCAATTTTTTTCTATAGGCTCTTCTGTTTTGTAAGCATAGCCACAATTGTGAATAAATTCCAAATATTCAGCACGCGCTTCACACCAAAAACATTTCATGTGATCAATATTTACTAGAAATCTATGTGAGAAGTCATAATTTTCAATGAGGTAAGAAACATCTCTCACCAGTAGATGACTGAAAGGCATGAACCATTTAGAAAAAAAAATCTATGGTTACAACTTCATTGTTCCAAGCTGCAGTGCTCTTGAAACATTTTTTGTCCTCCCTAGATTTCAAACAAAACCTTGACTACCATTCATATAACATCCTTGCTTAAAATGAAAACAGCTTAACATGATAACAGTTCAGTCACACTCAAAACCCTTCAAAATGTTTTTAATATTTCACTTCCTCATTCTTTAAGTTCGTACATTTTCAGACAACAAAGCAAATGATAATTGTCAATACAAAAATAGGCACTGCTGTACGGTTTTACATAACTAAACACATTAACAGAATGAAAACTTAAAACATGCACATACCTGTAAGATACCTGATAGAATGGATATCCTGGCAGAGGAACAGAGTTTGAAAAACCAAACGGACTTGACATTGCTTTCATATACTGTATCCACTTAAATTGGTTTCATGTTCCATATGCTAAGCCTTTACTAAAGAATTAAGTACAAACATCCATCTGTACACTTGTTCAGGACCTAACTGAAGAGAAACTGAATGCATATCGAAAGGTCTTAAAATTCTGACTGCATACAGACTGCCACTGCTTCCCTCTCAACTGCAAAATTCCTAAAAGCCAACACCCTCGTGACATCACATGCTACAAAATTACAAACATGCAATCATATCAGAAAAGAGAAGGAATAGTTTGTCTTTTCTAACTTGACATAAAAGCCTACAGTACATTTTTCCTTGCAAAGACCATGCGAGTAAAGCGAGAGAGAGAGAGAGAGAGAGAGAGAGAGAGAGAGAGAGAGAGAGAGAGAGAGAGAGAGAGAGAGAGAGAGAGAGAGAGAGACACCTGCTATCTTAAAGAGCAGCCTTGGTTTGGCAAGCAGCCAGCAACCAGCAGAACTTATTGCCAATGCTGCAAATCCCTCCTATCAGCTAATGAAGATCAAGACTGCAGGTGAAACATGATTTTAGCTCCATGACAAGAATTCCCTTGGAAATGCATACAATGCCTATGACCTTGAATTCCTATCTTTTTTTTAAATCTCAAAAAAGGATCAATTCAATGAAAAGCTACAGTTTATATCATCATTTTATCAACCACATCATCAGTGTCCCTATACATTTTAGCAGCATGAGAAATCACTGAGACTCTCCCTCTGCTAAAAAAAAGGAAAAACTCACAACTAAGCTAAACAGCAGAGGATTTTTTTTTTTTAAATCACAATAACATTCTTTAAACTACTGAACATATAAGCAAAATTAGTTGTCTTTTCATCAAATATTTGTTACTAAATTAAATTAAATACAAAGAATATTAAACAGTTACTACATTGTGGCAAAAAAGAATGCTACAAATATTTACTAGGGCATTAATTTACAATTTGGGGGGGGGGGGATGTTGGGAGGGTACTCCTTGAAGGAGAAAACAAAAGCCGAATTAAAAGAGAAGAAACAAATCAATGTTAGTAAAGCTCTTCACTGTGTCACCACAATGGTTATGCTCAGCATACTGAAACCATATAATAATATTTACATTACTTTTCATAAATAAGTTGTCTTATGGCTAGGGACAGACACTCAAAAAGCCTGAGCCTGAATTGATTCAATCTTTGCAGGCTAGTCTAACCTGGCTAGGCTAAACTAGTTTGTAACCAGACAGACATCCCAGAAATGTAGGTACATGCCTGCAGTGGCTCAGGCTACAAGCAGGGGAGTGCTAAAGCAGCCCTCCCTTCCCTTCCACACTGCTAAGCTGAGGGGGGGCATGGCCAGGCTCCAGCAGGACACTTGTTAGGGATCCCCTCCCCCATTGGGCAGCTGAGCAGGGAATTGATAATAGTGTTTGTCACCCCATCAGAAAACAAAGCCTCTCTCCATTAGTTCAAGCTCTTCTTAAATAGCTTTTCCAAGGAAGGAATCGGTCTCCCACAGCACACACCAAAGCTGCATGCTGGCTATGGTGAGATCAAAAGGTTGAGCTGCAGCCAGGAAGCAGAGGGGAGGGGCCAACGCTGCTGTGGAGCACAGAGCCCCGCCCAGCCCAGAGAGCATGCCGGGATACTGGGGGAGTCTGGTTTAACTTAAACCAGCAAGGGGCCTGGGCTAGATATTGCATAAACCGGTTTGACCCAACTGAGTTAATTCTGATACTACATTCAACCAGGTTTATCTCAAACCGGTTTCAGCCATTTTCAAACTGTTTTATGTGAACTGAACATCTGTTCTGTTATAGGTTTAAACCAGTTTCTGATCACTTAAACTGGCTTATGTGTAATGTCTGTCCCTAGCCTATATAAATATTTCCATTCTTGTTTTAATATTTTTGAAAAAGAAAACATATGAACAATTAATTGTCTTGCTTTGGCTGCTAAGAATACTTTAGGTTATTAAATTGCTAAATTTAAGAATTATGAATTATGATTGATGATCACTTTATTATCAGCTTGCAAATGAAAAAAGAGTAATCACTTTTTACAGTTAAGTTTCTAGTCAATTTGTCATTTGCATCATTTCTAAGACAATAGTACAAAGTTTGGATTACAAATTTTCAGAGTAATATTTCAAGATGATCTTTGAAGGAGAAAAAATGGGCATAACAGGAAAATAGGGCTGAAAGGGACCTCATGAAGTCATCCAGCCCAGATCAAGGCAGGATCATCTCTGACTAAACCATCCCAACTAAGGTTCTATCTAACTTGCTCTTGACATTTCCAGAAATGGAGATTCCCCAACTTCTCTAGAAAGCCTGTTCCACCCTCAGTCAGAAAGTTCTTCCTAATCTCCCTAAATGTCCTCTGCCACAATTTGAGGTCATGGCTCCTAGTCCTGTCCTGTACATCCACAGAGAAATGGCTACCAACCTCTTTACATAGTCTTTCAGGTCTTTTAAGACTGTTATCAAATCCCCCCACCTCAATTTTCTCTTCTCCAGACTAAATAATCCTAGTTCTTTCAGCCTTTACTCATAAGTCATGCTTCCTAGGATCATTTTTTATCACTCTCCGCTGGACTCTTTCCAACCACATCTTTCTTGAAGTGCGGGGCCCAAAACTGTATACAGTACTGCAGGTGAGGCCCAACCAATGCCAAATAGGGCAGAAAAAGTAGTTTTCCTTGATTTACAAGTTACAGTTCTGTTAATACAACCCAGGATGCTGTTGTTTTGTTTTGTTTTGTTTTGTTTTGTTTTGTTTTGTTTTGTTTTGTTTGCAACAAGAGCATGATTGCCTCATATTCATCCTTCATACCTAAATTCTGATCAATTTTCTGGTCAAGCACAGTATTTCCATACAAAACCTTTTTTCACAAGGTAGATTTCTATAACTGTAATACAACCAAATATTTCAAAAAATGATATATTTAATAGGAAAAACAGCTTTCAGAGCTGCTAGAAAATGTCACATCTTCAGAGTGCCTAAGCCAATAAGAACTTGGTCAAACGGTATCATGTCACCAGCCTGGTGAACCATTAGGCAACTGAGCCTATTACCAGGCCAGTTCTTCAGACCGCTTCATGGTTACACTCAGGGTTAGAATTACAAGGGAGCAGGGGGGGGGGCTGAGCCCCACCCCTATAAAAAATGAGATTCTCCCCCCCCCCCCCAAAAGACTTGAAAATCGTAAGTGGGGGGGAGGTGGTGTTCTGATTTTATAAGGGTATTGTGATGGGCAGCCCAATTCTTTTTGCCCCCCCCAAGAATCAAAGTGTAATTTAAACCCTAGTTATACTGGAACTTAAATTTCCTCACAACAACCTTTGGGGAAGAAGAACACAAACTTCACTGCCTTGGTTACCTTGTAGTCTAGCCACTGTCCATGACTAGGAGTCAACTCCAAGATCAATTCTCCCTTTTTTAAGACATGCTGACAGCAATTAACCCAATACAGCCATTCAGAACCAGTCATTCAAGTTAGCACATAGAAAAGAAACCATGAAATAAAAATTGGTTAATCAAACGTGTTATTTGCAAAGGCCACAAAGTAAATAACCCTGTAAGCAGCCCCAAAGCCTTATTAGAAAAATATAGCAAGTATGAAAACCTTACAAAGCGGCCTTTTTCAGTCATCTCTCAGAGGTTAAGAATCTCTCTCAAAAGATGCTTGAATGAATCAAAGTCTGAGCATATCAAAGAAACATTTGCATCAAACAAGGTCACATAGACACACCCATCTTTCCTTTAATGCACAAAGGCTCAGTATACCAAAGCCAGGAGCCATTGGAGTCATTACTACTCATTTATTATTACCTCTATATGCTCAACAACAATTATGCTTTAAATTCTTGATGTTTAAAAAAATTCCTCTTCTTTATGCTGACTTTGACTATATAATAAAAAAATTCTTAATTCCCAATTAATACTTTGGTGAAAAGGAATTGAAAGCAGGTTGTGCTCTTTACACAATGTTCCTTAGTGTGTTGATGGTCTTACACCTTTTGGAAGAGTTCTATCCCACGAAGCTAATAAAAACATCACTATATACCATGATAATATCACAACAAGTGTTGAAAACATCAAAAGATACACAGTTGTTAAAATTCTTATTGGAAAGATTCTACATCATCCTCCTGGCTGAGAACATTTCCATTCCATATTCTGCTGGAGAAAATAATTATGAGTTTAGTTGTTACAAGACTACAAGCATGGTATTTGGAGACCCAGGTCTTGGTACTGACTTGCTCTGCTATTTGGGCTAAGTCACTTATCTCCTCAGTGCCCAATTCATCCACATATATAATACTTGCTGAAAACAAAAGTGTGCTGTAAAGCTAAATTTTTATAATTAAAGTACTGAAGTCTTCTGATTGAAAGGCAGAAAAAAGGTAATATTTTGAGGATAAAGATATTCAGAATATAGCATTATTTGTCTACTTCCCACTTTTAACTACCATACCAAAGGCAAACAATAGATATTTTATTAATTCCAGAATTTTAAATTTAAGAATTGTATTGCTTTGCCACATTTTTTAATTTATATGAACTTCACATTTTAAAAGGACTAGATAAGGATACATAACATTTAAAAACAAGTCCCAAAAAAGCTGAAATTGAGATGCATTTTTTAAAGAAGTGTCCTCCTATACATTAGCATATTAATTTAGTATTTCAAAAGTGTTTTTCTTTTGGAGGGAGAGAACTGGAAGGTGGAGACTCTCAATGATGATGCAAGAATAGTTCCAAATTAAAAAATATTACAAACAAGCTACACACACACACACACCTATTATATGCATGTAGTGGGTGTGTGCATGCGCGCACATGTGGAGCGCGCACACACACGCACACAAACTGACCCAGTATATTTCTAACCCATTTAATCATGTGTACTTCACATATACAAAACTACTTCCTGAACAGATTTAGTTGTCAAATATCACAGGAGCTATAGAGCTCAGTAAGTTTCATTTCAAATATGATTGTGTTTATATTTTCTTGTGTGTTTAAAACTGGTAACTAGCGCCAAGCAAGGTAAACATATAAGAGAGAGAGATCATTTGACATGCTAAAAAGTGTTCTACTACATTGCTTGAGATAAAATAAGGCTAAACATACAAATAAATCACCTGGTCCAGATGGTATGCACTCAAGAATTGTGAATGACCTTTAAAATGAGGTAACTGAGCTTCTGAGGGGGAAAAAAATCAATATCTCTTTAAAACCAGCTACTATACCAACTAACTGGGGAACAGAAAACATTGTATCTCGATTTTTAAAAAGGCTTTAGGGGTGACCTCAGGTGCTACAGACCA